CTTACAATCAATACAACAAAACAATATTTTATCTTTCGGTTGCCTCAATCAACGTGTTTCCACATGGTATACATGGGACCTGCTTCTGTGGAATAGTGGTTAGACGTTTTGCTGTCGCACGCATGAAGCCTGAGTTTGGAGAGTTTTTATCGAGTATCCCGGGGCTATTCTGCTGGAATGTTGTATCCCTCTCAGCCTGGGTTGGCCCTGACAGGCAGGACTGATCTGAATTGTGTTGATAGGGGCATAAAAAAAAATACATTTTTAAAGAAAAAGTCCAAGAGAAGCCATGATCCTACAGAGAATGAAAATCTGAGGCTTAATGGAAAGTTAGTTTTAGTAAGGTATTACGGCGCTCACATCTGCATAAGGTCATATGAGCGCCAAGGGGTGGATGTCAACCTCTCAAGCCTCAACAGCACAAAGTCTGCTTCCACTATCAAGGCACCCCGGAAATAGCAGGTCACAAGAGTGTGACAAACATACAAAAGAAGTAGAGAAAAATGACGATAGTAAGGATGAAGAAAGAAAAAGCAGCAGTTCCCCCTACGTTGTTCCAGCACAGTATGAGCATAACAGATAAATCAGCCCATTTACAATTCTGCTGTGCATAAGAACATGTTACTATCCCCCCTTTGGGAATGGCCTAAAGACAACGAGATCAGAGACATGATGGGAACAACACCTGTCCTCCACTACATCCGAAGGCAAACAATCAGGTGGTTTGGACATCTCACACGTATGGCACCTAACAGCTTGCCAGTAAAGGCTACTACAGAAAAGTATCAGGGTACAAGGCAAGAGGAAGACCAAGAAAGACCTGGAACCAGGGTGTGAAGGATACCCTGAGAACATACAATATCCCACCCAGCCAGGCCATCAAACTTGCTAGAGACAGGAAGCTCTTTCTCCCCTCGACGCCCTAGAGGTACAAGAGGACGGAGAAAGTCAAGTAAGTAAGTATTGGGGAAACTGTACAGATGTGCTGCGTACCTCGTAGAAGCGAGTCCGGAACCACTCTGTGAACTCTGGCGTCTCCTCCACGACCCCCACGTCCACGCAGCAGGCAAACTGGTTGTCGTCCAGGAAGTTACAAAGGGAGAGAACCTCGCCGCGGTGGGCCGAGCTCTCGTTGCTGAACGTCACAAACACCTTGATGTCGCGGTGCGCTGAGTGGGG